GAGGCTCTGCCGAGCGTCGCGTAGCACGCGAGGCTCGTCCCTCGCGTCAATTACCAACATCAAACACATTTTATACTCCCATAACAAAACCAAGTAAAAAATATAAATCTAATGTCCATTACTATTACGACGGAGACAACAAAGCACATCAACCAAATTATACATATCTGAAAGAAATGAAGGAACAGTTAGAATTTCATAACGCTAAAAAAGATTACGCTATATTTCAAAATAGAAGAAGATATCAAGATGAAGCAAATTCAATGTTTAATGAGATACAAAGGTTAGAAAGTGAAAAAATAAGACATCATCCATCAAGTGAAACTGGTAAAAATTATTCGGAAATGATTAAGAAGAAAAAGGATATAATCAATCAATTAAGAAAGAATTTTAAGTTTGAATAAATTAATTAGATTAATAATTTTATAATCTAATTAATTACATATAATGAGATTAGACAATATGAAAACATTAAAATCACAGTTAAGATTAAGACCGTCGTATAATGAACTCATCAAGGAAATTACAAAGGAAGAATATAAAAATAAGAATATAAGAGATGTAATAGACAGAAACGCTTATTATTTTCGCGACAGTCCGTTAGGAACAGTTTATGATAATAATACCGTAGATTTGAGACAACAACACTTTCAAAAAATATTAGAACAACCTAAAACAGTCCCACATTTTGATATGTCAAAGGACGATGAAATGGATGATTTAAGAGACGGAGCAATACAAACACTAAGTGCCACAATGGATGATGCCGAGGAACAGCACGAGCAACAAATCAGTCAAGTTTCAAAAAGAGTTAGTAGCGAACAAATAGCAGACCTACACGAACGAGCACAACGGGCAAGACAATTAGAAGGACAAGAGGGGAGAAGACCAAGTATCCAGTCAATGGTAACCGCAAAATCAAGCGATTCAGAAGACTTACCACCGTTAGAACCATTGATAACAGAAGACGAAGCAGTTAAACGGATACAAGGGGCACAAAGAGGATTAATGACAAGGGGAAATGAAAACATAGGCAGACAAACAAAGGATGATGACGAAAGCCTGAAAGCACCCCCTAAATCAAGAAAAGCAAGAGAAACAATAGATTACAACACAGATATGGACAGATGGAAACACAGAGACATTAGCACAGATGACATCTTTTTTCAACTACATTTAAGAGGCTTTCAAATGACACCAGAACAACAAGCAAAGTATGACAGTTTAAAAACGAAAGGAAAGGGCAAAGACCAATCCAAGAAACAATATTTAATTGATGTAGTGGAAGAATTAATTTCAGAGGGAAAATGGACGACGAAAGTAAATGATGAGTTGTTAAGAAAAAGAATGGAAGATTGGAGAGGTATGAAAGGAAAGGGTAAAGCAACAAAAGAATGATAAAATCATTTATATAATTTATCAATAATTATATAAAATGATTAACAACCTCAAACATGAGTTAAGGAAACGCCCTACTTATGATGAAATGCTTAAACAAGCAATGGCAAGCAAACTAAAAACAACAGTTATATTGAAGAAATACAAGAAAGGAATGTTATTGAATAATTTTGATTTTGATGAATTAGATTTAATGAATTATAAAAATAAAGAACGATATATGAATGCAGAAGTTATGATGGCAGACAAGGCAACACAAACACTTAACAAAGAAAACAAGGCAACTCAAACAGACCTACCAAATGATAAGGCGACGCAAACTTATAATTTTGATGATATGACAAAGATTTTAGGTGTGTCTTCAAAGAAGTTTAAGAGCAAACTGATGAACAAGGCAGAAGCAGAAGCATTAGCATTTACATATGACCCTGATTTAAATGATGATGACGATGATGATGATGATAAAAAAGATGATGATAATGATAAATACAGAAAGAAACTATTTATGTTGATGAGGATTATAGATTTGATGTTGAGGTCAGGTTTTAGTATAGGGCAGATAGTGGCACATTTAACATATCACACTACATTAACTACAATTCAAGGTTCAGAGTTGCTGGTTAATTTGACAATGAATTCATTAGTATCATCTTATGATATAGCAAGTGCCATAATGAATTGGTTGAGTACAAATGTTAGTGAGGAAGTTGAGTTAAACACTTCGCCTCCTATCAGTGTTCATAGTTCTCCGCCTATCACTGTTAATAGTTCTTCAACGCATACTGTTCATTCATCATCATCAGAAGAAAATGCTAATTATGAAATAGCACCGCCTACTGACATCCCTGTCCCTACCGGTGTGGATGGGGACGAGTCTGAAAGTGAAAATGATGAAACTGAAAACCAAAATACCAACCCTGCAAAAACTAAAAAGACTTAAAGAAATGACCCCTTAATATATTAAGAGAAAATGAGCGAGGGTAAAATGACAGAGAATCATTTTATGATTGAACACTGGACTAACTTACCTGAGGGTTTAGTTTCAAACATCACTTCTTTTATGTTTGGTGATGAAGGGTGGCAAAGACTGAAACAGTGTGATGCACTAAGGGTCTTACAAAGGAAATGGAAACCATCTATTTACACTGAACGAGTAGGAGAAAGTAAATATTATGCTGAGATTCGTAATAAATGTTTGCAAGGTGATAAAGCACTTTCATATGCGTTGAAACCACCAAAAGAACTATTAAGATTGATGAAGTATGATGATGAAATACAGGTTGGAATAGAAGTTTGTGCAAAAATTATGTATAATAATAATATTTGTAGAAGTCGCTATTATTCATCAAGTAAACGGAATAACATAACAAGTAGAGCGTCATTACAATTTCATATTGAACAAGCAGTTGAAAAAATAAAACAGACTATGAAACGACGCGAACGACACGAAATCATTATCATAGAACATATTACATTTGAAATTCATAGGGAAACATAAACATTAATTTCGTGGTTTATTCATATTATTTAATTATAATGCGATTAAAGCCTTATATCCCCCAGAAAGCCTTAAAATGGTCTGAAACCTGAAACTTGAAAATGTTAAATTGTTAGACTGTTATTAAATGAAAAAAAATGTAAAAAAAAAAAATGTTGAGAAATTTTAGAAAAATTCCCCAGAATCCCCCTTGGTGTTTTGAACAAAGTTGTTTGCTTGTTGAAAATGAACCCTGAACCCTGAAACCCTACCTTGAAAATTCCCTACCCCAGGCCCCCCCTATTAACTATTTTGGCCATGTTTCCACCTAAAAACCCCAACATGTTCCACGGCGATGTTGCTGGTAGGGGTAGAATATGGTATGATATGAGCGCCTAAACACTTTGAATGGGGGTGTAAAGCACTTAAAGCCACATGTAGTGATGATTTTCGGAGGTTCACTAGTAGTAATTTTATGTTGCCCCTAGTTCTAGTGCTACCTTGCTCCTTCTTTCCAGGGATCCTTCTTTTTGGGAAACCTCCGGAAGAAAAGGGAAACCGGCTGGTTTTTGAAAGGAACGATGGTTGAAAAGAATAGGGAAGCAACCCCTAGGCCCTAGACTTGAAGAACCAAAACTCAGACCAGTGGCTATAAAAAAAGATGCGGGGTTCCAAATATCACTCAAGTGTGTACATATATATATATATATATACATATACATATATATATATATGTATGCACGCATGTGTATATATATATATGATTATATATATATATATACAAACAACAAACAACGATGACAATGCAAGTGTGGATACTGCAACGAAATTTGAAAAGACAGCCAAAGAGTGCCTAAAACACCGCTTCCAAGCACTGGCACATCGGCCAAACTGGGGGGGGGGGGTTCTTAGCTCTCTGCACAAAATTAAGCTGGGGTGGCTTTAACCAAGCCCAAAACAAGCTGTTTGACCAATGCATGTTTAACCAAGCCCTTAAGATGCTTGGTTTAAAACCCTTTTTGGGGTACGCCCGAATCAAAAGGTTTCTTAAGCTGAATCCCCTAAAAACAACTTTCTTGATTCGGGCGTAGATATGGATGGGTTGTGACCTTTCCCAGCTGGACGCACTAGCTGAAGTCATTTCTGCATGTCTTTACTGGATGTCGTTCCCAAAGCAATGAGAACCGGCCAATTTTGCCGGTGGCCATTTCCTCGTGGCCTGGCTGAACATGGCGCCCGCCATTCCTTCTTGGGAAAACCGTACTGTGGATGCCGTCAGCATGGGCTTTAGCCTCTTTGAGTCTTGGGATACAACCACCGAAATTCCAACTGCTGTTCTAAAAATGGTGAATCCCTTCTCTTAAAAGTGTTTGGGGTCAAGTTTAAAGAAACTTCCTGACAAGAACGAGATACGACAGCCAAGTAGCCTTGCATTCCGAGTAATGGGATCCCCCTACAGATATACAACAACATACCTAGCACTTGAGCTCAAACGTTCAACCACGTGCAGAACAAGAAGCATTGAGTACTCTCACTCGGTTCCAGCTATCCCCTTGGCTTGGATTTCTAGCTGCTTCAAACATCCCAGCTGTGGAGCCCCCAAGCTCAACGCCTCGCTTTGTAGCCCAGAAAATGAATACTTGGATACGAGTCGACAAAGGCAAGCAAACCCAGGCCCAAGCTTCAATCAACGGATCATCAAAATGTGCATACTTAACAAGAGCAACATCTTCCGTCCACGCCATGAAACGAAGTGCCCGAAGTGTCCGAAGCCACCGAGTCCAATTTGCCAATGCAGGCCGGCGAATTCCCAATCGGGCGTGAACGCAACCAGAATCCCTATGTTGGGGGGGGGGGGTAACTGTTTTGGTTGAGGAAACACAATGGGCACTCTGCCATTTCTTTTGGGAGGGTTTCCCTCAATATGTTTACCCCGGAAAGAACTTCTCAATCGCCAGCATTGCCAGAATGTGGTATGTCCTATGGTAGCAAAAAAGAACTCTGGCTTTTTGCAGCCCCCTACCTAAAATGAACAGAGCCAAAAAAACAACCCTAATAACATGGCAACCAGAGTGAAGTGATGTAACCTCAGGGCAATCTGGCACTGACCAATGCCCTTCCGCGCCTGCTGTCAGGCTTTGCCATGACCTTAAACGCGGGGGGGGGCCCGAGCAACAAACCAAATGTCTAGGGGTACCTTCCCCATTCTTTCCAGGAATCTTTCTAGAAAACCTTCAGAAACCCAGGGAAACGGATCCGGTTATTGATAAAAGAACGATGGTGGAGAAAAATGGACCAGGAATCGACCCCTAGAAAATGCGACGGGGCCCCTTCCTGGCGGGTTTCTGCGGTCCCATGTGACAGGGGCCTGGTTTCGAACACCTGGTGGGGCCCTAAACCCAAGGTATACACGGTAAACTGGAGTTGTACAAACAGGGTACCCACGAAAACGACCCCCCCCCAACAAAAAAAGAACAGAAAGCTTGCAGTTGCTCCAGTTGCTCATGCCATCTCCTCTCCCTCAAATGGGCATCTATCAATTTCGTTGGTGGCCAGAGCACCACAGATACGAACAAGGGTACGTCCGCTTAGACTCCGAGAATCCCGAAAGTGAACACGAGACATTTGGAACACGACCATATCTTTTGCGAAGAAGACGCCTCCTCGAATTTGGGACACGCAGCTTCCCAAACGTTTCTGTCAGCCCAGGGAAAGTGGACTCTCCCAAACGTTTCTGACGAAGGATAGACCAAACACTCTTTTCTGGATTCCATGGCAATGCGGGGCGAGGACCAATTTTCTGGGGTTGCTGATGTTGCTTCAGATGGGTCCAAGGTGCAGGCTGTTCAAGGTCGACTGGGTCCAAGTGGGATTGGCCAAAGCCCGAAAACTGTTCGCTTGCCGTTCAAACGGCACAAACTGAAAATGTATCAAGTGCATGAGACAAGCAGAAACACACAGAGACACGCAGAGACACACAGAGACACACAGAGACACACAGAGACACACAGAGACACACAGAGACACACAGACACGCACAGAGACAGACAGAACTCGATATTCCTTAGGGAATCCGCCCGAAACCCAAAAGTAAGCTGGGACAGCCATGCTGCCCACCTGCGCAACTTTGAGGGAGCCTCCAGACCCTCGCCCAAGCCGCCGGCCGCTTCCGCCGCTTCCGCGTCCGACTTCACGGCCAGAGCAGGCCAAAGCCCCAGTGAGGGATCCGGGTGCGCTTTCACCGCAGACCGGTGTGCCTTCTTCTGCAGAAATGAGGACATGCCGATGACATGCTCCCATGGCCGATGGCCTTTTTGTTGGTTTTTGTTGTTGCGGGTGCTGGAAGCCTTGGTATCGAAGCGAGTCTCGAGGCCAAAGGGCGGACCGTGGCGGCGTGCCGTTGGCTTCTTTGCCCCATGCTTCGCTTGGCCCAAGGTAGGCCCAACTTTTTCTCTTTCATGTCGACCGGCCCAAAAAATCGCCAATGACCAGTGAGCCCTCGGAGTCACGTGGCAGGGCCTCTGTGAGGTTGGGATCCGATCCTCTGGGAAGTCCACGTCTCCACGGTTCTGTCTCAAAAACTTCGATGAAACCCCAAGAGTCGGCTTCCCTTGAAAACAAACAAGGGGTTCCGAGAAAAAGCAAAAAAAAAAAAAAGAGAGACGGGCCAGGGGTTCGGGAGACCGCACATATGATCCTTGTCAAACTCTCTGCCCTCGACTGTTTCCTCCTCTGTCTTCTGTCGCTTGCGCTGCAGCCAGCCGCTCTCAGCCAGACGGTAGAGATAGTGTCCTGCGCTTGCTTGGCGTTCGTCGAGGAAACCCAAAAACATAGAACACTTGGAGTCCCCGAGTTTGACAGACATCCATATGAGTGTGCGCTTGTTGAGCGGTGCCCTTTTCACGTTGTTTTGAAGAGAGACGAAAAGTAAAACCGCCATGTTTGGGGAACCAAGTTCCTTCTTGGACGGACACATGGCTATGCTCGGCATTGGGCTGGCCAATGGGCTCCAACATCATGACCATCTCAACTGGACAACTGGGCGATCTCTTCATCGCGCCGGAGGCTCGAAAAAACGCACCCGGACGCCGAGAAAACCGCCGAAGGTGCGCTGCAGCTGAGCCTCTTGTTGCGCGAATGTCATGCCGCCTTCGGATTGATCCATGACTCAGGGGTTTGGAACCCTTGTGATCCCACAAGCCCAGAAAACCTGAGAAAAAGGAGAAGAAGAAAAAGAACGAGAAAAAAAAGACAGCTGTTTCACTTTGAGCCAATTTTGGCCCACCCCAAGGTCCATGGCTCTGTTAAAACCGGCTTCCGACCTGACCCACCCCGCTCCGATCACCGGCTCAGGCTTGCCCTGCAGCTGCTGGCGGTAGGCCTTCGAGCCGCATGTGAAAGCCAAGGCGTCCGGTTTGGAGCCCGGTTTCCAAGACACCAGCTTGACAAAGGTCCCGAAAATTTGGAGAAACCAATCCGAAATCCCATTTCCTGCACTAGCTGGTTGCTATGCTGGGTTTGGAGATGAGCTTGGGGTGGTTCCCACTTGCCCTCCACCAAACACACACTTTCCGGACACCAAACAAAATACCCGGACCAAAGCGGTTGACACCGCGGAGAAGCAAAAAAATCGCGGCCGGCCGAGCGCAAGGGAACCTTAGAGAGCAACCCGTTGGTCATCTTGAGGCCCAGAGAGCATCCCTGATCTACAAACCGTTTATTGCGCAAACCTCACATACTGGGTATGGGTCAAAATGAAACCACCAGGAATCGGACCGCAGGTTTTAGTCCATGTTTCCATTCACCAGGATTCCATTTTGGGCTTAGCCTACTTTTGACCCACAGCCTGTGGATGGACGGAATCCATGCCGCACCGCTTTGAAACAATGGTTGAAACAATTATTTGTTGGTAGTCACAGGGGAGTCGAATCATCCCAGGCTTTGTTGGGTGGTGCGAAATGGATTTCGCAACCATCCACAGTAGCACTGCAAGCAGCTAAGCAATGCTCATACCGTGTTCTTCCCGGTGTTCTTTTGAGATTTCGGCCTAGCCATTCCGGATTCTATTAGAGCAACACTGGATTCAGAGTGACGGGCCATTGCTGGTTGCTTCGCTGTCGTCACCGCCTAGTAGCAAGCCCTGCACAACTCAACAAAAATAACCCTGCAATGGTGTGGAGCCTCTGTGAATCGCTTCCCCTTCTATTTCATCGTCCGCTGGCCCTACCCAGCAATATGCAAGGGTGTGGCGTCACGGTTGGCCGCCTAAGCACTGCACAACTGCCTCATGGCCGTGCTCAGCAGCAAGGTGCAATGGGGTAATGCCCTGGTTGGTCGCCTTCTCCTTGTCAGCACAGGCATCCAGCAAGCACTTCACAACTACCTCATGGCCGTTCTCAGCAGCAAGATGCAATGGGGTAATGCCCTGGTTGGTCGCCTTCTCCTTGTCAGCAGAGGCATCCAGCAAGCACTTCACAACTGCCTGATGGCCGTGCTCCGCAGCAAAATGCAGCGGTGTAGCGCCTTGGTTGGCCGCCTTGTCTTTGTCAGCACCGGCATCCAGCAAGCACCGCACAACTCCCAGATGGCCCTGCCCTGCAGCGCAATGCAATGGTGTGTGGCCCCCGTTGCCCACCTTCTCTGCACCGGCATCCAGCAAGCACGGCACAACTGCCTCTTTGTCAGCACCGGCATCCAGCAAGTACTGCACAACTGCCTGATAGCCCTGGCAAGACACACTATGCAATGTTGTAAAGCCATCGTTGTCAGACTTCTCTTTGTCAGCACTAGCATCCAGCAAGCACTGCACCACTGTCTGATGGCCTTGCCAGGCAGCGCAATGCAACGGTGATCTGCCCACAGTGTCTGCCCTTTCTTTGTCAGCACCGGCATCCAGCAAGCACTGCACAACTGCCTGATGGCCCTGCCATGCAGCAAGATGCAATGTTGTAAAACCATCGTTGTCGGCCTTCTCTTTGTCAGCACTAGCATCCAGCAAGCACTGCACCACTGTCTGATGGCCCTGCCCAGCAGCAAAATGCAGCGGTGTAGCGCCCTGGTTGGCTGCCTTGTCTTTGTCAGCAACAGCTTCCAGCAAGCACTGCACAACTGCCTGATGGCCCTGCCACGCAGCGCAATGCAATGGTGTGTGGCCCTCGTTGCCCGCCTTGTCTTTGTCAGCAGCGGCATCAAGCAAGTACTGCACAACTGCCTCATGCCCCTGCCACGCAGCGCAATGCAATGGTGTCATGCCCGAGTTGGCCGCCTTCTCTTTGCCAGCGCCGGCATCCAACAAGCACTGCACCACTGTTTGATGGCCCTGGTTTGCAGCAATATGCAATGGTGTAAAGCCCTCGATGTCTGCCTTGCCTTTGTCAGCCCCAGCATCCAGCAAACACTGCACAATTTCTAAATTGCCATTTTCAGAAGCATTGTGCAAGGGTGTCACATGGCTGTTTCTGTCAGCAGCATCAGGATGATTAGGCATCTCCAACAGCTCCAGCACATGTTGTGCATCGCCTCTTTCCGCCGCTTGCAGCAAGTCAACTCCAGTTGCCAGACCATCCTCTTCACCTACATATTGCCGTACAACGACCGTCAGGCACTCAGCATTCTCCCACGGACTTTCCGGCCCCAACATGCCTAGGTCACCAGCCAGCGCAAGCTGCCTGAAATTTGGCAAGCGCAATCCTTACTTGGACGCTGGACAGGGGAGTTCACAAATGTTGCTGTTGGCACAGGTGTCCTTTGGGCAAAATAGATGTCGCTGGTAAATGGAATAAACCCCATGTGAACCAGTGCCATCTATTTCCAACCAAACTAACGCAAGAAGCGGACATTTTGCTCTTGGTTGATCTTTGAACACCCACCCAAAGGAAAAACCAGGTGCCAATGGCTAATTGGGCATCTCTTGGCCAGGTGACGTCGCAACGCGTCGAAAGCACAGTCCCCATCTTCTTGTCCACGCATCTCGTCCCACGAGGAATACTCCGCAGCCGTCATCACGTCCGTGCCGTCGAGCGAGCGAACACAAGCCATGAGCGATATTCGCCACTCCGCGGACCGTCTGCCTGCATCAGGGATCCTTACATTGTACACCTGAACATTGCCTTGTCAATGGTGGTTTCCCTGTATTTTGGTTGGAAAAGCCATGTTTCAAATGGGCAAAGCGCATCTTTTCAGGAGCCCTTAAGCGAGCATGGCCATGTTGGATCATAACTAGACCGAAACGGCTCGGCTGAAAGCTGCGGTCAGATTTCGTGCGATCCGGACATCTCAGCTATTTGTTCATCTCCTGAATTTTCCGTTGGGAAATGGCAACATCTGCTCATGACTTGCCTTTTCTTGTCGTGTCTTTTGGAGGGTACCCCAACCAAAAGGAAAACCACCATTTTGGGGGAGGGGGGGTGCCCGAAAACTCGACACACCCAAATCAAATGTCACCTGGTGTTTTCTGCCGGATTCTGGGTTCCCAGGTTGATCATTTGACTGGCGGGCACCCCTTCACACCGCAAGCTGGTCCACGCGGTTGCCGCAGGCATCGACACCACGGGCTTGGTGCTTGGAAGCCAAAAGGAAACCAAAAGGAAACCGAAATCCGTGCAAACCCGGGACCCCTTTGAGACAAACTGACGTTGAAAGACCCGTTGTGTGTCAAAAGAGATAACTGCTCATGTCCCCAAAAACAAACCAGTTGTTTGTAGCCACCCCTAGGACTGCATGATTGGGGCTGACCAAAGGAAAAGATTCAAACTGGGGGCAATGTGAGTCTCCCATGAGGCCATTTGGTTTACCCCAGTCCAAATCACGTCGTGAAAATCTCTACCAGGCCAAGACGTACAGTCGGGCGGGCTAGGCACATCAACTTTTTTGAAATGTGTTACGTGCCTATGCGGCAAGGTCGATGCGACCGGGTCACAACAGGGTCACATCACCTCCATGTTTAGCTTGCGTTGAACCATTTGAACCATGCTGCAGCGCGGCAGCAAGCAAAACAAGGTAGTGAGGCAGCAGAAAGGCAGGGACAAGCCAGGAGCAAGGCAGGGGCAAGCCAGAAGCAAGGCAGGAGCATGTTGGGGAAAATGCTGCGAAAAGACGAACCAAACTTGGTTTTGGAGACAGAAACGAGGCCCCAAACGAGGCCCATGTTACCCAAGGGACACCTACGGACGGTACAAACCATGAAGAAATGTTATTCTAGTTCAACCGTATAGTTCACCAAACAACTGGGACCCGATCTCCAGTGCTGGCAAGTGCTTCGCCACGGGATTTTCCCTCAATCTGGCCTGTTGCTTGCCGAGTGGGCCGAAAAGATCGCTTGACGCGGGTGACCTCGCGACTGCAAACAAGCTAGGATGTAACCCTTAGCCTGGCTGCCCAAATAGATGCCCTCGATCGCTCCGGGTGGTTTGGGGCATAGGAGGGCTGCCTCGAATTCCGATGTCCGGGGCTGCATGAAGAGACCTGGGCCTGACCACCTGGGCTTTGAGATGCGTTCGAAGAGGACTTCAAAGAGGTTTTGCAACCAATCCATCTCGGGGTCCGGAGTTCTCAGCCCTCAATTTGCCACAAAACGCCGTAAAACCACGGTGTGTTAAGTAGCATGCTTCATGTTAAAGTCACATCCCCACCAACACCCGATCTCCAAAAAAAAGCCGCAAATAGATACCACCTAAGCTTTTAGATGCGTTCTAGTCTTCAAGCCATTTTTCAAGCACTCCATCTCGGGGACTTCAGGGACCCCCGAAAAACGGACCTAGATAGCCAAGGTGCGATCGCTTTTTTCAGTCACTGTTGCTGTTTCTTGGGGGAAAGTGCATTTATATATATATATATATATATATACTTTTTTAAAAAAGAAGAAGAATAAAAACGCAACTGGCAATCCAGGGATGGCCAGGTCAGCCAGGAGCCGACCCCGACCGCCCTCCCCGATCGCCTCCTCGCCGCCCCGCGGAAGGGGCGGCAGCTGCGGCGGCAGAACCAGCGGCCGCGGCTCCGCGGCCAAGACCTCAAGGGTCGATGGAGCCCCCGGAGAGGGTCGATGGGAGGCGGCGGAGTAGCAATGGTGCTTAGCATGGACCTGCAAATTGTCCATAGGCAATCCGCGTTCTAAACTGTCGTCATGATCCAAGTGTCCAACCACTTAAACAAACACATGGGTATGGGTCAAAATAAAACCACCAGGAATCAGACCGCATGTTGAAGTCTTTGGTTCCATTTACATTTTGGGTTCCACTTTGGGTATGCAATTTGACACAGCCACATGGCCATGGGTCAAAGCCCAAATCGTACCCGCAGTGAGCATCCCAATCCAACCACTACAATCCCGACTAACATGGGTGGTGAATTCAACTGTCCCAAAATGGCACCATTGGTTTTGAAGCGTGGCCAAATGGGTGTGGTCTTTTGCCTGGGAACTCCGGTCCTCCTTCCCCTCCCTCCCCCACAAAAAAAAACACAGGCCGTGATCGCGGGATCGCGGAAATGGAGCGCTTTTCCTGTTGGTCTCCCTCTTGCACTGAGGTGAGAAGGGCGCTTTTTGAAAAAAAAAGACGGGCCTAAATGGTGAGCGGATCATGCTTGCCCCGACTTGCCACGTGATTTCTCCCATGGTTTTGTAGAGGAGTATGGCTTGTTTGCTTGCAACATGGCAGAAGTCGGCATAGGTCGGATCGAAACGCGGCTTGACAAAAGAGCTCAAAGAACCTCGCAGGGCCTGGTAACAAATCTGGCCAGACCCTCCAACTTCTCCTGGCCCATTCTCAATTTCGAACATAGGGGGCCCGTGGAAACAACTGTTGGGGCGTCCGTTTTCTTTCGAAACCGCATGTCACTTTGGACGGAAGAGGTGAGCTTGAGCTCACATGAAAAAGGTGCTCAGGAAGAACCCCTTTGGTTTCCTTCCAGCGTGGTCTTGAGGTTCAAAGCAACTGGTGGATTTTGGGCGCTGGAATCTTCAGGGAACAAAGTCGGGTTGAAGAGGAAATCTCCGGAATTGCGACCCATTCCACGGGTTGCACTAATTTTCCATTCTGAAGCCGGCATCCCCAGAAAATCCGAATCTTCGTAACGCAAATGCGGCTTTTTGGGGATGCATCCTAAGGGTTCCAATGTGGGTCCGGGTCCCTTTCAGCAGTCAGGGTTCATTCTATATTTCCCCCACATCATCCCATTTGCAAAAAGCTCCCCAAATGGCAACCAAAAGGTGATTTGTGCAAAAAGCAGCCTTTACGGACAAATATGGCCTTGTCCTTCGACCCAACCAAATACGTGCTTTCCCACTCCCAACAGATCCCAGTGACCAAAATATAGCAACCAACCATTCCTTTTGGCTTTTCTATCGATTCCTTTGGCTAGAGGCAAAATGGAACCGGAAAGCTTTGGGCTCCCAGCTCAGTGGCCTGACAAGGCGGCCTCAAGACTTTCCGTGGGCTTCCCCTTCGGCTTCTCCAGGGAAAAACCTCCAAATCTCAGGGGGCGACTCACCATCCACCAGGTTTTGTACATCGGACCTTTTTCAAACTTTGGTTTCTTTCCCCTCGGACAGCCCCCAAAAATGGAAACCCATCCATCAGGTTTGCACCGTGACCTTTTTTTTTGGTTTCCCCATTTCAGACAGCCCCCCGGAAAAAAAAGAAGAAAAAAAACGGAACCGACTCAAATCCAGGCCGCAGCCAGGTCCCTGCCGGCGTTCAGGAAGTCGGTGAGCAGTTCCCACCTCACGCACATCGGTCGCGGTAACCCACGGGCCAGCCCCGTGACTTCATTGACCTGCATATTGCGGGTGTTATGTTTTGTTGTTTAAACAAAATGGTTCGAAGTAAAGATCTGCCATTTCTGAAATAAAATACATGTGTTCAAGTATAATGGTATGGGAGGTATCCTACGCAACCCTGTGCGCCCTGAAGGGCAAGATGGATGATTGCCTTTTCTGGCTTGCCTGTACCGGGTTTTGGGGGGCCCGACCCTCACCCCGACCAGGTTCATTTAAAAAGAGTTGCGCAGCCGTTCCACAAATTCCTTTGGAAAACTCGGTACGTTCGACTGCCTTTCATCCACGCAGTCCCCGCCCATCCAACGTGTCGCGGCTGGAAATAGAAGGAAATCATGGGAACACTCACAGAACATTGAAGTATGGATGCATGGATGCCTCGATGCATGGATGTATGGATGTATGGATGTATGGATGTATGAATGTATGGATGTCTGGATGTATGGATGTCTGGATGAACAAAACTTGCGAGCCACGGAACATAACAATAATATATATATATATATTTGTATACACACATTTATATTCAGCGTATCTCCAACTGACATGGAAATTGCCCCAGCCGAAGCCCTCCCCCCCCCCCGCCACAAAAAAAAACTCGTTGTAGTTGGGAAAGTGTGCCGCCCGTCCCCTCTACCGCCCGTGCATGGAATGATATGGCATTTATGCTGCACCAAATGAAAGGATACCCCAAACATCACAACACTTTAGGACTGCTTTCTTACGATTCTAAGACCCTTCCGGGCATGCTTGGAGACATCTTTTGAGAGAGTTCGTTTGCCAGTTTGCGGGCGAGTCAACCAGCGCCACTAAACAACCCCTTTTGGTGTCTTTGTTTTGCCTGATGTAGGATATGGCCATGGGTCACCCCAGTGAACATCCGTACCATTAGTTTTGACCCACAGCCATATGTCGTCCACCAGTAGGTGTCCTTCTGGAAGAATAAATGGACTCCATTGGTAAGAAGGGTCAATGATGGATGACAAGTTCTCGTTGGGTAGAGCTACCGAAGAGGCCAATGAGGGCGGAATGTCCACCCAGAGGCCCCACCAAACATGGGAGACTGATCAGTGAAGTTCTGATCAAGGTCACCTTTTGAGGACACCTACACATGAAATGGCAGTATCAGAGGGATGGGGCATGGCAGGACTAACACACCAGTCAACTCATCACTGCCTGCAAGAAAACAAGAAGATGGCAGTTCCTGGTTGCACTGTTCCCCATTTGGCTTTCAGCTTGACTAGGAGACACCCTCCAAAATGGTTGGGCAAGAAACAATCCCCGTGTAAACGATACTCATGTGCAACAAGTGCCATGGTCAGAGCTTCCTTCGGTCACAGTCAGGGTTACCCATCGGAAACCGAATCCCCTACTGTGGATGGTTGCGAAATCCATTTCGCACCAATGTGAAACCATGGTTGAAGCCATTGTTTGTTGGTATCTACAGGGGAATCGAATCAGAAACCAGGGTTTGTTAGGTGGTGCGAAATGGATCTCGCAACCATCCACAGCATTAAGAAGTCTTGCCAACTCCAAGAAAAGGAACCGATCTTTCTTTTGACCGTGGCACATGCAGGTCCTGTCTGGAGCACTGCGAGATTTGGAGGCTCGGTACGCCCGCAAAAGGAAAGCCAACCCAAACATGGGGCTCAAATCCCTATTTTGACACGCACACACACACACACACACTCCAGCTGAGAAATCCACGGCTTCCCTGTCCATTTGGCTGTGGGTCAAAAATAGGTACCCTAAACGGCTTGCCCTGGCCCTGGTGGAAACATGAACCAAACCTGTGTTTTTCTTTGGTGATTTCATTTTGACCACCCATTTGGGTTCCATTTTGGGTACATATTCTTGACCCACAGCCATTTTGACACCCACAGCTGAAAAAACCCATGGCTTCCCTGTCCATTTGGGAATCCCGACTCTTTTCACCCCCCACAAGCAAAGGACCACCAGCCGCCCAGAAAAAAAACGATGAAACAGGTCCGGGGAGCAGCTGATGCGGCTTTCCTCGCGCGGACAAGTCTGGGTGGATGAGGTGTGGGAGCTGTGGTCGTTCAAATCCAAATCCTGGGAAATGACCCCATTTAGGCACATTTCCGGATAAAATCGTGTTTTTTGAACCAAGAACCCTCAGAAAACCAATCCAACCCAGGGAGAAATCTGATAAGTGGAAAGTAATCAGATAAATGGAGTCACGTCCAAGGGTCCAAATCCAAATCCAAGCCAGTCCAACCCACCCATTCGGCGGGGCAGTCTGACTTTTGGGAGCGTCTTACTATGGGAGAAGGACCTGAACAGTGGCTTCGGTCCCTTTGGCTGTTCCTTCAAAACTTCCCAAATGGTACCCCTGACAGACACGCCCAAATGTGTGCTCCAAGGTTTCTTCCCTGGTTCTTTGATCCAATGCTTCCTCAAAGGTGTAGTGACTACTTGCCATCTGCCCATGGGTGTTTCCTATTGGGGAGGCGCTGTGTAGGAAATGGCAACCCAAACTTGGACCTGTGGCATTGGGAAACCAGCATAATTCCATGGTGGGTTCGTTTAAACATGACTTTGGTGACCAAGATGCGAACTTCCATCCTCTTTTAACCCTGTTGACTACGAAGGGAACCAGGGAACCGGGACCCTCCAAAAAAAACAAAGGCACCACCGGATATCCTGGCATCCTCGGCAAAAACCGGGCCCCTCCAAGACTCAAACACCCAGGTGGCGGTAATCAAAGCACCGGGGACCCCAAAGGCACCGCTTCCGGAAGCCCAGGCCTCCGAACCAGCCGATTTTGGGATCAAAGGCGAAGGTCAACTTTTTCCCGTTTTCGGAGCGATGCGGGACTCGACATGGATGCAACCAGCGACGGTAAATTCTACTGGAAGTTAGCCAAATACCCCAAATCCGGGATTTCCTATAGAATGTCCTGTAGTTGGCTTCTTAGATGGATGCAAACCAGTTTGTTAGGTGCACACCTAAGTATCGTAATGTCACAATGGGCTGCCTGTTGGTGCTCCTGGGAAGAAAAAAAAAACGGCTCACCCAGGGTCCGTTCCAGGTTAGACCTCCCAAGTCCAAACTGAGGGAAACTTTCTTGCGGATCTCGCGCCGGCCATGTTGCAAGCCTCCGCTTCCTTTTTCCCGATACCGGTTTTGTGGTTGACTCCCTCAGAGCTGCACAGAGTCTTTGGAAGAACAAGGGGAACCCTGTGTGCGGGTGACCGGGGGAAGAAGAAAAAAAAGACGGGCCGACGCGGTCCACCTCTTGGTGTCATCATCACCGGGCGCGCCTGCCATCTTGGCCTCCAAGTTCTTCTGCAAGATCTGGGAGTTCAGCTCCTCGTCGGCGCATGTAGTGCAATGGCCCCTGTTGACCCGGACGCTTTCGCGGTACCAATTCCAAAGGTGGTTCGGGACCCCAACAAAAACGACAGCAAGTGGTACCAATCACTTACCAGCTTGGGATGCTGGCTTTTGGATTCCATTTGAAACCAATCAAAAGGGTTGCCAATACAAATGGGTGACCCATACAAATGGGTTGCCCTAAAACCACTTGATAACTTCGGTGGTCGTCCAACCCCTCCACTTCGCCTTGAAACAGCACCGCCTGTGAAGGGAAACTCACCTTTGATGGGAAAAGATGACATACCGAGCCTGGAGAAGAGAAAAAAAGCGTTCCACGCCCACCCACATGTGTTTGAATCCCGGGGTATCCCGGAAAAGCGCGCGGTGGAAAATCGGCAGAAGCCAAGGGGCGAGCTCCACCTCATAGGACAGCTCCTTGCTCGTCTGATCCTTGGAACTCCAATCCGTGCCCTTTGACTCGGATGCGCTGCCCGCCCTGCCATAGGGTCCCTTCCCCCCCCTCCCCCCCCCTCCCCCTTCAATTTAGCAGGCCACAGAACGCCCTGTTCGAATGAAGTGGCATTGGCAGTCCCCAAAAGTATCACGCAAACCATTTGGCAGCCGCTGGGTGCTGGTGGGCCTAAGGATGGCTCGCTTTTCGGGGCTCAACTCAAATCATGAAACTCAAGGACTCACCCAAGGAGCCAGCCACGGGGCAACCGGTTGCACCCCGTGTCGACCTCCGAATTTTGGGAATCTGGGGCCCGAAAAGGGGCCCCTTTTGGCTCAAAGAACACCAAGCCTTTCGCGCCGCACAAGTTCCAAGTCAAAACCATGCAGTCCTTCTTGAACACATGCTTGCAGCATGCAAAGAAAAGTGGTCCCCCATTTGGACATGGGCGTTGTTTTGAACGTCGAGTGGGACCTGCCACAAAAGTGTAAATATGCATGTGGTGTGCTTGGTGTTTTCTGTTTGTCTACTTTTATTGTATTTATCTATTTGTACTTTATGTGTGATTTGGTTCTTGTCTTGCTTCATTTTGTTCATTTAATCACGTATTTGTCTATTTTATCTATATGGGGGGGTGGGCCATCCGGTTCCCACGCACCGACTCTGCGGTCCCAAAGTTCCAGCTCAAGGGCCGCCCACGGCGCGCGAGAAAGGCATCCGGACGGAAGCCACTGGGGGGAGGGAGGGGAGGAGGGAGCCCAAAAAAACCCTTATTTAGCCCTTAACGCCTCATTTAGGGCTTATTTGGGCTCCCTCCCCCTCCCCTCCCTCCCCCCCAGCCCCCATAAATTATGTGGCTTCTTTGAGGGTGTCCTTGTCACTTGGGTCAAAAGGGTTTTCCAGGAGCCTCCAAAAAAATGGGAGACAAGCCCATGTGTAAATAGATCCGGGTGAAACGATGGCGGAAAAGCTTCAATCATACATGCCCTTCGGCAGTGATTTTTTTCACGGGGCGCCCCCTTCAACAGCGGTGGACATCAATTCAGTCGGTCCCTGAAGATCCTGAATTCTCATGTCCATGCCGGTCGCCTAGTCCAATCTAGCGCTTCCCCACCTGAATCAAGTCCACCAAATCCGCCCCTTTTGCCGACATTCCCTCATTCTTGGTGGTTTGACACATCACCTTCAAAGAGAGCTTGCCTTGGTAGGGGGCGCTGTTTCAAGGCGAAATGTAGGGATTTGGGTCTCCCATTTGGGTCCGTCTCTTTTTGGGGACTCCTCTTTTGATTGGTTTTCGAAAGGAAACTTACTATTTCGAGGGGTCCCCTAAGAGGTCCCTTTTTCGGCCCCAAAAAAGCACCCGAAAGGAAAAAATAAGAACACATTCTTTGAGGAAGCCCCACAAAAATCAAATCAGAAAAGAATCCGCCCCCCCCCCCCCCCCCCCGGCAAACCCTAGAAAACAAAAAATATAGCAAACACGCCCCTCCCCCCCACCTGCCCCTAAAAAAACAACAGAAGGAAAAAAAACAAAGAAGCAAAAAACAAAGACAAAAAAGAAACCTTCTCCTCTTCAAGCCTTCCGAAAAAGGCCGAGGTGCCGACGAGCGCACCGCGGTGAAGTCCACGCGCCAGGCGCGGAAGTCGAAGACCTGCCAGGCTGTTTAGGGGGAAGAGGTGTCGTAGTTGGGTCGAAAATAGGGGAACCACCATTAGGGGAACCACAAGTAGGGGAACCACAACATGGGGGAACCACCAAAAGTTGGGTAAGAAAAAAGTAAAAACGAAGACAAAGAGCACTCCAAAAAGCGAGCCGAAAAGGTGTCTTTGTTGGGTCGAAAATACTGTGGATGGTTGCAAAATCCATTTCGCACCACCCATGAAACCCTGGTTCCTGATGATTCCCCTGTAATTACCAACAAGCAATGGCTTCAACCATGGTTTCCAAAGTGGTGCGATATGGATTTCGTCCATCCACAATAGGGTAAAAACAAAACCGAAAGAACCACCAAATAAACCCTAAGGAACTAGGGAGGTACCTGGACCCGGAAAGCAAATACCAACTTAAAAACGGGTTGGACCCCGAACATTCTGGTTGGTGAATCCCCTTTTTGAAGGGTAGTTAATGGCTTGCGCGTTGGCAAATGGAAACAAGGACGCAACAACAAAAACTGTGTTCTTTTGTTTCTGGTGGCTTCATTTTGACCCATCGCCAGGGAGTTTCTTGGGAGCCATTTTGCCGGGGGTCCAAAATGGCTCCAATTTGTGGCCAGGCCCGCGCCTTCCGCTGCTTCTCCCGCTTCAGCCGCACCTGGAGTGCGCCATGCGCGTCCGTTTGGTCAGAGGGCGTACCCCCAGCGAACATCCCAATCCAACCACTGAAATCCCGACTAAAATCGGTGGTGCAGCTGCACCTACCCCAACATGGGATCCCAAAACGGTTTTGACAACCACAGCCATTTAAGGCCAATGCGCAATGCGCGTCCGTTGGGTCAGTCAGCCAAAGGCCAATGCTTTTTCAGGCGCCCAAGGACAAGACATGGAGTCTTTGTATATACCCAGCTGCGCAAAGGAAACACGAGCCGAGGTGAGGGAGGGCAATATGCACGATGTGTTTTCCACCTTGGCTCTTGCCCATGTGATTTTGGTCCCTCATTTTCTTGAGTTGGCACCGTGTTTGGTGGCTGTAAAGGGAAACCAAAGACGAGGCAACCACCATTTGGGGGAGTGTATTGCGAGGTATTTGTTGTGCCTCTTGTCGTGCCAAGGAGGTGTTCAGGATCTCCAAGGAAGGGATCCTCAAGTTCAGTTTGCACAACCCTTTCCATGAGCTGGGAACAAGGGAAACTCATCCATGCTTGGGTGGACCCCAGTTTGAGGTTCCATATTGCGTAGCGGCCTAGAACCAAAAAAACGCAAAACCACAAAACAAGAAGTAAAAAGCATTCAACAAAAAAAGACAGCCTTCGCCTTTCCCGAAGCCCTCTCAGCCAGTCCGGGAAAACAAAAACTGCACGACCAAGCAAGAAGCCCAAACCGCCTAAACCCCAAACAATCAAGCCAACCCCATGCGCCACCTCCGAAGACCCCCCGTGCCCCCCCGCTGCAACCGCCTCGGTCTTCGGCTTGTTGGCCGGCGCCTCGGTGCTCAGCGCGGCCCGCAGGTCGAAGATGCCGCCCTTCTCCGGGCGCAGCCGCCCCGTGAAGAGGTCCAGCGCTGGCACCGCTCGAAGCGCGGAGCCGAGGCGCGGAGTCTCTCGGGCTTTTTGGTTGCGCGGGCGGTGGGGGGAATGTGCAAAACGGGGGGAGGGCAGGTACGATATCATGCCTATGATGGGAATATATGTGGGGAACCAGGTCGAACATGTGTTGGACACAAGGTGGGAAAGATGCCGGGAAAAGCGTGGGAAAGATGTGGAAAAGATGTTGGCAATGATTTGGAAAAGATGCGGGCAATATTGTGACTGTGAGAAAAATGTGGATGATATGTTGGGATTTGGGAAAGCCAATCTGAATATCAAACAATTGTTTGCAATTTATTAATTACATCATATTGGATGCCATCATGTCATTGGGAGTTTGCCGTTTGGGGAACCCATGCGGGCCCAAACGTTCAGCTCGTTGAGAACAGGCGACCTGTGACGACGGGTTTGATGGTTTCTCACACATTTCCCGCATACTTCTTACCTGTTTCCAACAATATTTTTCACATTATTTCCCACAATTTGTCAGCATCGTTCCGACCTGTCTCCCGCAAGCATTTTCCACATTTGTTCAACCCATGTCCCACATCCTTCTGACATACTTCCGACATTTTTCCCACACTGTTTCCCTACTTCCGACATGTTTGCACATTGATTGATTGATTGATTTCTGATACATCATTGTAAATAACAAAACTGGTCATACTGAGAACAACTGTGACTTAAACCTATATGTATAAGTTACACTCTTCATTTCTATTACACAAACAATATTGTTTCACAAATAATGCTGTTCGGGCCAATCCTGCATTGCATCTGTTGCCCTTATTTGAAGGGGGCGCCCCTTAAGTCCTCAACCAGCAAAGCCAGTTCTCAGAATGAGATCCCAGCTGCGGGTGCACGCCTGCGGCTTAGCCAAACCAACCGGCATGTGAGACGTGGCAACACAAAGCGGCGACCCGAAGAAACACATCCCAGCCTCAATCCCAATCGTTTGGCACATGCCCAAACGGCATCAAACTTGCCAAAAGCAGCTTTTTCGCCACTCTGAGGGCTGTAAAACCTTTCGCCCTTGGAGCTCTGCTCCCACCCGTTCTCCCCCAAACCCCCCTTTACCCTCGCCAGAACCCCAACCCAACGCCCTCCGCCCAAACCGCCCGAACCGCCCCCTCGGCCCTCCGCCAAAACGGCCTTCGTGGCGGGTCTTCAGCACCGGGCGGCAGGGCACCCAGCGGTCCTTGTCCCTTCTGTGGGTCATCCGCAGCTGGCCTCCGGGCGGGCGGAATCGGTTTCCGGTTGCGGGCGAAAAAAACACCCAGGAAGCGGGGGCTTCCGGGACTCCCGGGTTTCGTTGTGGGTGCTTCTTTTGTGTGTGTTGTTTGTCGTGTTTCTTTTTTTTTCGGAAAGAAAGAAAACCGGGCACACTCTACACCCCATGTGCCGAATCTAGGAAAAAACGCCAGAAGATTTGATGAAGCTTCATCTAAGTGGTTTCATCCAATACTCCCCTGCCATGTTCACATGCAACGCAAGGGGGGTCTAAACATTGATGATGGCTGTTTTGGGGTCCACGTTAATCTGCGAGGGGTCCCTATGTCTCCCCTTTAAACATCAGCACACTTTAGAAGAAAAAAGAAAAACCAGAAAAAACAACTCACTTCATGTTGGCCGATGTGTAAAGCTGCCAAAAGGTGCAAAAGAGGGACCCCTTCCTGGGAACCGGCGGCAAGCGAGGCAGGTGCGCCTCCGCAGGGGCGGCTCTGACCCGCAAGAGGTGAGCTCTGTCCGAAGAGAGAGCGAGAGAGAAGAATAAAAAGGGAGAAAGAGAAAGAAAACGAAGAAGAAAAGTGAGATGAAGAGAGAGCAGACGAAAAAAAGAAAGAAAGAAAGAAAGAAAGAAAGAAAGAAAGAATGAATGAATGAATGAATGAATGAATGAATGAATGAATGAATGAATGAATGAATGAATGCATGAACGAATGAATGACTGAATTAAAGGCTAGGGGCCAAATCAGTGTGCAGGGCCAACTTGCATTTTCTCCCGGGCGCGTTTTCTCAAAAAACCATCGGGCAGCACTGCTAGATCTGGTTGGCTTCAGTTTCGCTTCCTTTTGGATTCCTGGCGGTGTCTACTCTTGGTGTTTCCTTTGCGTTTTTTCTGGCCTCCCCGGAATGTGACCAGTACCAAACTTCACTCCAACCCAGATCCCCAGCCAACCGCATGGGGAACAAACAAAAAAAAAACATGTCATTTCCCGTCCGCAAAAAAAAAAAAGAAGAAACAAACGGGGAGGTCCCCAGCGTTTTCTTGTGGCGGGACCTTCATCGGAGGTCCGGCGTCGACTGCCCGTGCGACACGCCCGACACCCGGGCCGCGCTTCGGTTCATGGGGCCGCCCGTGCGACCCGTCTCCGGAGGGTCGTACCTGGGCCGCGGGATTTCTCCTGGTTCAGGGTAGGAGATGTGCGGTGAGTCGGTTCAGCTTTTGGCCTGAATGAAGGGTTCGCATGTATCTAGAAGCACCTGCCATGTCCATTATTTTCATGCTTCTTTCCAGCAAACCTCCGGAAGCCCAGGGAAAACGGCGATCGGTGGTTGAAAAGAAGAAAGGAATGGACAAGGATGAACCCCTAGAATTTACCCGGCTAGGCAGAGTCCGTCTCCAAAAATGGACTTTCTTTTTGGACGGTGCTGAGAGACCAAAAGGAAGCTACCCATCTCAGGCAGGGGTTGATGGCCATTGCCCAAGAGGCATCTTGACCAAAGCCCTGGAAGGGCCAAGCCCGTTCTATTGTTGAGACATCACCTTTGGGTTGCCAGTTTGAACCAACCTGTTTTTTGGGCAGGGGTATTTTATCGGGTACCCCTCAAGTGGTCGTTTGGGGATTTGAACGCTTGCCTACCTGGGTGTGAACTGCAATAGGGGACCATTTGGTTGGAAATCATGGTTCGGTGGGGCCACTTTGGAGGTGGCTCCCGGTCGAGATTCGTTGACCTCCTTTGGGTGCGTTTTTTCGTGAGGGCCTGGTGGTCGAAACAGGTGGGAAACCAACCCTGACCTCCGAGAACGCAAGCATTCCCTCCTGGAAAACCCACCGGCGCGCCGACGCGCCGTTGCTGTTGGGTTTTGGGGCCCCGTACAAGGTGTCCAGCAGCTGCTCCGAGCGCACGGAGCACTCCAGGCCCTCGGCCCTCAGCACCTCCAGCCTCCAGCGGTTGGGGGCGGTTGGGGGGATTTTTGGGGCGGACTTTTTTGGGGCGCGGCTCGGTGGGTAGGGGTAGGATTTGGGGAGTTTGCGAGACGGCTGGGGGTAAAATTTTCGGGATTTGGGGACGGCATAGGTGGCCTTTTGGAGATTTAGATGGGTTTTGCGGGTAAATGGAATAGATGGAAACCCATCGAAAAACCAGGGCATCTATGTTTGACCAGACTAACCTAAAACGGCCACCTATGGGTAGGGGTTCGGTTCAGTCGCGGCTGGTTGGAGGGGAAGGGGTTTCGGTTCCAACGCTTCCAACGAAGCAACCAAGGAAGCAAGGGGGGGAAATCCAGAAATGGCAAGTCGACATGGAACCAACCAACCCAAGCCACCAAACAAGCCAACCAAGCCAACCAAGCCAAGCAGCTGCGCCAAAAGGAGAAGACAAAGGTTGTGAAACATGCTGTTTCTGGTTGAAGTTGCACAAACTCCCAGATTTGTCTACCCAACCACAACCCACTGGCGAACCGCAGGAGTCGGGGTCTGGAATTCATGCTGGTCCGAAGTGGTCAGCGGGAAGGGAGCAACCCGCAGCGATTTGTTTTCCAGATGCCGACTTGTGCGAACCCATGGTGGGTGCAGAGGAATGTCGAGAGTCATGCTTTGAAACGTTCAAAGCGACAAACCGCCTAAATTCAACTCGCTCCTGTCAGTCTGGACTGACTTTGCCGCTGGACGTTGGCGAGGTAATTTGCAACCAGACTGCGCCAACCTGAAACGGGAAATCGGAGAGCCCCCAAACAGCTTAATTCACGCACTTGGATGTTCAACCTACGTCAGGCAAGTAGGTTAGAACCAAGGTGAAAAACTGGGGTAACAGGAATTGGTGGACATAAAAAGGCATTGTTGTAACCTGCCTACCTGACATATGGCCATAGGTCAAAACCCAGACCGTACCACCTGTGAACATCCCAATCCAACCACTAAAAATCCCGGTTCTAAAATGGTGGTGAATTCGCCTACCAACCAAAATGGGATCCCAAAACGGTTCCTCCAAGCAGCCTCCCAGACAGCCCCGCTCCTCGCTCTCCGGAAGCCCGCCTGTGCATGAGCCCCGCATAGGTCTCCGGCGGGAGGCCCGCTTGGAACCGGAAGGGGAAAGCTTCCTCGTCTCTTCGAACCCGGACGGGACCTCTCGCCCCACTAAAGAAAAGCACAGAGAAGACATGGATGTGGGGCATTGGTCAAAAATAGGGTAACCCCAAAAATAGAACCCTGGTAAATGGAAACATAGACTAAAACCTGCGGTCCTGTGCTGGCTTAATTTTGACCCATACCCATGTGTTTGTTTAAGTGTATGGACACTTGGATCATGATAACAGTCTTGAGCGGATTGCCTATGGACAATTCGCAGGTTCATGTTTGGAAACACCCATGGCTTTGCAACCATGCCTTTGGTGGGCTTGTTGACCATGTTTGCTAACCGCTTACTGAGTACCCTGCCCCATACAACGCGATCTTCTTTGGGGACCTCTTGGAACAGGACGTTTCAGTTTGGTCAGTCCCTTGTGGTTGGTCAGTTCCTTTGGTGAACCCAAAAGGGCTGCTCCGATGCAAGGAAACGAGGCGAGCCGGCTTGTCATTTTCATGTTCAGCGCGGGGAATGGCACCTTTCAGAACCTATTGTTACATGTAAACCATCCCACTTGCTTCAAAAGCCTTGTCAAACCCGGGGCAGAAGGCCTTGCACGGCAATCCTCAATCCAAGCGCCAGCTGGAGTCATCAGGCGCCAGAAACTGGGGCCCCGACGTCCTTCTGGATGGTGGCAAGGGCTACCCAAGAGACACACCCATTTTGAGTTGGCGCAGATCCAGTTTCCACATGCTGACGTGAACAGCCCGGCCCAGGACTGCCCCTGAAATGCAAACACGCGCATGTTCCCCCGAAAGTGCCCCCCCCATTCTAGCCACTACTCATGCCCCCAATCTAACAGGCAAAAACATCTGCTCCCCCTCCCGCAAACCATAGGTAAACAACCAATATACAACACAACACAAACGCAAATGATACAAAGCGACCCAAGATAAGCCCAACCCCACTTAACCCAACAAATCATCATGCAGCACACCACAAGCAAATCAATCCAAACCAACAAACCAACAAACCAAAACCTCCCCCCTCCCACACCTCCCACACCTCCAACACCTCCAACACCTCCCACACCTAACTACCTCCCACACCTTCCACACCTCCCACACCTCCCACACCTCCGCATCCCCCCCCAATGGTACCCTGTCCCTCTGTCCCTTCAAGCATTAACCACTGGGACGTGTCTTTCTTTGAGGGCACCCCCTTTTTGTGGTTTTAACGGGCGACCAGAAGGAAAACCACAAGCGGGGGCCCAAGCGGTGTGTCTGATTTTGTAGGTTGGTTTTAAAGGGAACCCACAAAAAACTCAGTGCCCCCCCCCCAAAAAAAAAGAAGAAAGAAAGACAACGACACATGCCAAAAAAGATGTGGGGGCGCCAAGTCCCAAACAAAAACATCCGCCAGCCAACGCCCAAACCGGAGGCCCAAAAAACGTCCCCCTCCCCCCTGCGCCCCCGCGCGGCCGAGCCGCGCAGCGCGCCAGCAAGGCCTCGGAGCCCAGCGGCAGGTCCACCCGCGCGGCGGAGGCGCCAGCTCCGCTGCCTACGGCCGGCGGTGTCTGGGCGGCCCTTTTTCAGATCCCCCGCTGAAAGTTTACCCTCCCTTGGCACCTGTGGGAGGGCACCTGGAAGATCAAGCTCCTCTTGGATCCCCTTTCAAGTGCCGTGCTAGTGGCAGAGAGGGTAACTTGTGGTGGGCGAAATTCGGAAACCACTAAACACTAGGCTAAAAAAGCTCAGGAACCGGACGGCTGGGAGCCATCAAGGTTTGTTTCAAGCAAAGGGTGGAACAAGGAAAACTGGATTTCGAGGGAGAGAAAAAAAACTGGGGTCAGGCGAGAAAGGTTCGTACCAGACGGTTTTTTGTTTGTTTCCTAGGGCCAGTGATTTCCTAGAACTGGCTTTCTGTACTAGGGGTGATTGTGTTCTTGCTTCCTAGGGCTGATGATTTCCTAGGGCTGGTTTTCTGCAGCTCTGGCAACATCCCCAGCACCAGCCTCACTTGGTGTGGGGGTTGCTCTGATGGGTCTTGGGGTGGTTTGGGGTTGATTAAGTGAAGGGCTGACATCCAGGCTGCTGTTGGCAGGTTTAGGGTTGACTTTGGGTGGATTTGGGGCTGGCTTGGAGCTGATTTGTGGTGGACGTGAGTTTTAGTCTCTTTTAAGCGCTACCCCAAACCACTGTCAAACCAACCCTAAAACTTAGTCTTCCATGTTTGCGAGGGCAGCTGGAGCAAGCCCCGAACTGGGCACCATGACACTTGGGAAAATACTTGCTGCGCTGGGCTGTCCTCAGATCCCCTGCTAAAAGTGTTAGCTTGTGGCTTGAATGCTAAAAAAAAAAAAATGCTCGAGGACCGGCTGGGAACAACCCAGGTAAGTTGTAACCCAGGGAAAGGGGACGAACAAAAGCCATGGCCTTGTGGCCCTTGCAGCTATGGGACTGTCTTTGGGGGGAGAAGGGGTGAATCCCTAGAAATGGGTGGGAAACCAGGGAAAAAAAGCAGACATCACCTCAGGGTGTCTGCTGGCCCTTCACCTCATGCGACTATGCAAGCACTCATCGCCTTCCCCCCCGCCTTTGCGGGGCCCCTGACCCTGCATGAAATGGCAAGCTGCGTAAAGATTCGAGGAGTGGAGACAATCAGGTGAAAGATCTATCAATCTATATGTCTTTCTGTCTGTCTCTCTCTCTCTCTCTATCTATCCATCCATCCATCCATCCATCCATCCCTCCCTCCCTCCGTCCGTCCGTCCGTCGGTCCGTCTATCTATCTATCTATCTATCTATCTATCTATCTATCTATCTATCTATCTATCTATCTATCTATCTATCTATCTATCTATCCCATCCATCCATCCATCCATGCATCTATCTATCTATCTAACTATCTATCTATTTATCCATCTATCAGTCTGTCTATCTATCTATCTATCCATCTATCAGTCTGTCTATCTATCTATCTATCTATCTATCTCTATCTCTATCTATCTATCTAGGTGATATTGGGAAGCTATCAATCTTGTAAGCTATCAAGCTTGCTATCAATGGGCAAACCCCCTATCGCGGCCAATTTCTGTAACACACCGCGGAAATGAGGGCGCAACCAATAAGCTACGAAACACACGTTTTTGAAGCTACCCAAGTATTACCCGGGAATCTTTCAATTTAAAGTTGCAAAATGGATCTTAAGACAAACAATGGATGCAAACTTTCCAGGCAGCCGGTCGCTGCAAAATGAAACTACAGAGACTGGAACGTGTCCGAGAGAGGGGAACCCAAATAAAGGTGGGTGTCCTTGTGGTTTCGCTTTTCACCTATCGGAACAAGGTACCAAGTCTCAAAACACACAGCCATGCACACAAAGAGATTTAAACCCCAACACATGCCTTCAATTGTGGACCCTAAACCCCAAAAATGGTTCCCCAAAAATAGTACCTGGATCGCCAGTTGCTGCTTTTATCAAAAAGCAGCAACTTGGCTATCTAGAGACCTAAGACACTAGTGACAAAAACACACACACACACACACACACACATGCTGACCCGGCCCAGCGCCTCAACACCTTTCTTGGCTCGGACCGGATCACCGGATCGCGGGCTCGCCCGCCTCGCAGCACTCCGAGGCGCAGCTCCAGCTCGATCTGGGCATTCGGCACAGGGCCGTGCTCCTGGCAGGAGCTTTGGGCGGTGCACGGCCGTTCTGAGTTGGAGCGACTTGTCTGGTGAGTTCTGTGGTTAGTTGGTGGAGGGATTTTTCTGGCGAATTCCGTTGACAGCGGCTTGGAGTTGTTCGATTCTCCAGGTTGGTAAGTTGTAACGGTAACGTAGGTTATAACCCACATAAGTCCCCTAAGCGGCGTTAACCCAGATAGGGGCAATAAACATAGGTGGCCGACCACTTACATACATGATGGGAACCCAGACCATGTCCCATGAGGTTTTCGCGGCAAGTGGATTTCCCCTCCAAAAAGGGCCAACCCCGGGCCGAGTCAAACGAGTGGATCTAAGAAATTAAGAGAAGAAAAGGGAGCATAGAAAAGAAGCGCACGCCACAAGAAGCAAGGCTGACAGGATCAATGGTGCTGTGAGGACCATTGATTGTCGCAGGCAAGATGCAAGCAGAATTGCTCATGCTGATCTAAAGAAATGGACATCTGTACAATCGCAAAATGGGATTCCCATCTCCATGACTGCCCTTGACCCTTGACCATTCACAAAATAAGAAAAAAGAAAAAACAACATAGAAAAAACAGTGCACATAGATATCTCGAAATCACCCCCCCCCCCCCCGATTTCCACAACCATGGTAACCATGCTGAGAGCATTGAGCTGCGCTCAGAAAACGGGGTTGGCTTCGAAGGCGGGCCAAAGGAAAACCACCCCTTTTCTGAGTTCCATGTCCCCCACCTCAAAACGGGCAATATAAGGAGTCTAAATGATTGGAATGGGTTGTGGCGCGCTTCAAAACCAATGATAGTAGAAAATGTGCAACGATTTAGCCCCATAACAGGAACGCTATCCAGTATGGGTACGTCTTCTCTTTTCTTTTCTTTCTTTTTTTTTTTTTTTTGGGGGGGGGGGGGGGGGGTTGTAAGGGAAACCAAAAGGAAAACCGCCATTTTGAGGGGTCCTCTACTTGGATGTTCAACATATTTAGTAAGCAGGTTACAACCATGATTGCAAGCCAACAAACCCTTACCCAGCTACAACCTTGGTTATAACCTACCTACCTGGCGTGGGTTGAACATACAAGTAGCTTCCTTTGTGTGTCCCGGTTTCCCGGAAGAACAGGGATCTTTACATGAAAAAAATCTGAACATTGCCTTGTAAATTGCCAACTTTAGTTTGGTGTTGAAAAAGCCACATGTTTCAAATGGTTGCAAAATGTGGCGGTGGCTCAAACAAGTGGTACCAAAATGGCACCTTGGTGAATGGAACCAAAGACTAAGACCCGCGGTTTGCCCCAGCTCTTTCATTTTGAGCCATACCCATATGTCCGAATTCCTAAACGTGAGGCCGGGGCCTGTCAGGAAGCAATTTCAAGGAGAGGTGAAACCACGGGTCATGGCTCTTTCCCCATGGTTTCTCCGGAGCCCCAGCCTTACCCGTTAAAGGAGCCCGGAAGAACGTCAGGCGTCCGAGGTCGCCTCCAGGATCCGGCCCAGCTCCTGGCGGGCGGGCTCCGGCCGGTTTCCGAGAACACCACTCCAGGCTGGAAGAACCCAGCAACAAATGAGATCTTTTTTGCCTGTGGAAAACAAAAACAACAACCATTTTTCTTGCCTGGTGAGTGGAAAACAAACAAAACACCAACCAAAAAAGCAGAGAAAAAGATCCGAAAAGGGGAGCTACTTCTGGGGACGTCCAGAAGGTTCTCTCTTTTGTGGGCCACTTCGAAAAGAGTTTTCTTGGTCGAAGAAAACTTGTAACTTGGCGCTTCTCGGCCACAGACTTCCGGCCTCCAGAAGGGATTTGCGCCGCATCCCGCCCAAGTCTAAATTCTGAGCAAGCGACCCCACGCGCCACTGAGAAGCGAAATACATCGGCGTGCCGATTTCTGTTTGAGGGATCGCTTTTTCGGGGGTTGGTTGTAAGGTGAATGTTTGTGTGTCCAGAACAAAAAACCGCAGATATGGTACTCCAGAGCTGCACAGAGACCCCATGGCTTCCAGCTGCTGGGACAAAAAAAAACGAGGAACAGAAAAAAGAGGGGAAAAAAAGGAGCAACAAAAAAAGGAAACGAGGAACAGAGGCCAAAAAAGAGAAGGAAAAAAACATATTTGCGGGAAACCTCCTTTTGGACCCTGCTTGTGTCCACCGAGCACCCTGATTGGTACACGAAGTTGAAGGTTGGAACATGCAGGGCCCCACACAGCCGCAAAGGAAAGTACATGGAGCGTGATGCCCCCGAAAACACCGCTTGAGCACATGTTGTTGGATGCTTGGGGTCTCAGGATCCCGAGCATAGAATCAGCAATCGTGGCTCCACCCGGCAATTCTACTATACGGGTATTTCCAAAAACGGAAGACCCCTCCGAATTTATTACCTCAAGCCCCCCGGCCACGGTGCGGGGCTTTATCGAGAGACTTCCCTTGACTTGCTGGTGCGATAGGTAGGCAAATACTCCAGGGTGTTGGGAATGAACCTAGGGATTGCCAAGGAAACCATCGGGGATGGTTTATCTTCAGGTCACTCCAACTCATCCCTATCGAACCAACAAGTTGAACATCCCAAAAAATGGGCCAAGCCAATTGAGAAGCCCTTCGAGCAAAAAATCCACACGTAAGTCATGTTGACCCCGGATCTAAGTAGAACCCGACCAACTAGCGGGGTGTTTGACCCTGGATATGTTCAGTCACCAATAAAGACAAAGACGCGTCGCCCTTTTGTTCCCCAAACGCCGGGAGAGAAAAACCACCGCCGCCTGCACCACCGGGTCCACCAAACTGGGGCGGGCGTCGAAGATGGTAGAGGGGCCCACGTCCAAGGGAGCCATGGCGAGTTGTCTCGTCGCGCGCTCTCGCCGGGGGGAGGGGGGAGACAGGTGATTGGAACACTCCCATGAGAATCCTAAGGATAGGGTGAGAGGTAGAGAGTAGGGGTACGTGGGCAGAGGGCCAGGTGAAGACATCCGGAAAAGCATTCAAACATGTTTTCACTTCTCGGCCCCCATAGCTTCCAAACGCGAGGTGGGGGGTGAAGGGGCGTCGAAGTGGGGAAGGGCAGCCAGGAAAGTGGTCCAGCTTCCGCGGCGAAGCTCGCGGCCCAGGCCACCGAACTGCTTCAGACGGGTTGATCAAAAAGGGTCCGAGAACCAGGGGACCGTGGCGACCAAGACGATGATAGGTCAACCACTAAGTGGTTGAAAAAGTTACCCATGGTCAACACTGGGGGCCTTTTTTGCTACCAAGAAGCACTAAATGGTAAAATGGGACCCTAGTCGTGTGTCAGTTGGACTTTCCCATGGGACCCAAAAATAGGTTCTATGTTGGAACCTAGAAGAACCTGGTTGATATGTCAACCACTAAATGGGAAAAGTTACTCATGGTCAAGACTGGGGGCCTTTTTGATGAACCCCCACATCTGGCTGCCTGCGATCTATGTAGCCAAACTCTCGGCGGATGTCACGTGCAATTGACTTGCATGAGCCTACATCCAAGATTGAGCGGCAAACCTGGCCAAACCTCATCAACCTCATCAACCTCATCAACCTCATCGACCTCCACCCCTGTAAATTTCAAGCCCAACACCGAAGCAAACCACGGACCACCTTCTTTTTGCAGGCAGCAGACGTGCAAATGCCATGTCTGCGTCCTTCCTTCCCCGCCGTGAATCTCAAAACCGGCGGAGCGCTTTCGCTCAATCGAGACCTGGCAGCCTATGTGCGCCAGGGGCTGGCGGCTGTGCGCGAGGTGAGTCACAATCAAACCCGGGTACAGGAGCCTACCCAACATCAATGGGAAAGAATCAAGCGGTCGGATTTCCATATTCATTGTGCTTTCTAGAGGGTGCCCTTTTCATCCTTGGTTCAAAGGGAATCAAACAAGAAAGCCAATCTTTTGTTTGTTGGGTGGGGGTCCCGGCTCAAACCCCCCAATTCCGACCAAAAAACGAAGAATCACGGCCGGGAGTGTCCGGTAAACCTCAGGGACTTGGCTTGTGACTTCACGAGTCGAATTTCTCGATCGCGGCTCACTTCTTCTTGCCGCCCTTGTCATCCTCGCCCTTGCGCTCGCAGCTCACCACCTCACGGTGTCGGAGGGGTCGACGTCCGAATTCCTCATTTGGAGTCACTTGCTGAACAACCCGGTACTAAAACGGATTCCGTCCAGAACCATGTGGCTGTGGGTCAGAAATAGGGTAACCCCAAAATGGGTTACCCTGATAAATGGAAACAATGACTAAAACCTGCCGCTTTCTGGTGGTTTAATTTGGACCCACAGCCAGGTACTAAAATGGATTCCGTCCATCCACAGTAGGCCATACTATGACCCGGCCACGAAACCAGGCACAAAACGGACCATCTGCTTCTCTCCGGCCATGAGCAATGGGTTTTGGCTAACATGTGAGTCATAATCAAAACCTGGTATGAAAATGGTCTATCCAGAACCATGTAAGGAATTAAGAAGGCGGCCGCAGCTATTTGTGGCTGGGATTGTCCCTGACCAACCTTCATCTACCCAGGTCTTGATTGTGGCTGATTTGGGCCTGGGTCAGAATTGGTCACCACCAGGAATGGATTGCTTTTCCTCAAAGGGGTCGACTTCCCCAATTGGTCATGGGGTGAGAATCATTGAGAATTGGACCAGGAATTGGACCGCGTGAAAAAAGAAGTCCTTGTTTCCTTTTGCTAGAGCCACGCCCAGCAACTAAGTTCAAGCCGTTCGGACAAAGCTTGCTCCCATCTTGACGAACGCGCAACCCGTGATTTTCATATCGGATTTCTCCAGCAACTTAGCTGGTTGATGGAACACCTCCATTGGGTTGGCATCCCCTTTTTGGAGGGTGTACAGGGAGACCAAAGGAAAACAACCATTATTGGGGGTCCCTAAAATGACGCACCCCGCTATGCTTTTCCTCTGTATAGTCATCCATGTCCTGCTCGCCATCCGTCCAACTCAAACCCAGGCGGGCTTTTTGCTAGCCACTTGGGTCAGAGAAATTCAGAGATTGGTCCAAACGCCACTTGAGTTCTCTCCCTCGACCAGTGAGACCCCTTCGACTGAAGAAACCCGGCCGACTCGCAATGGGCAACCTCGCCTTTCCGAGCATGACAACGCCGTTGCCTCGGCAACCAGTGGCGCCAGTGGGTCAGAAACCCATATGTTCAGACTCTGGTCCATGCTCTCAGCGAGCCCTAAAATCTAACTTCTTCGGAAAAAGATGGAGAAAAATAGGGGGTGAGGGGGAGGGTCCAACTTGTGGTCATTGTACGGCACCTCCGCATTTACCGAACCTTAGACATGTCCACGGTAGCCAACCAGGATGAAGAACCTGACTATTCTGTGTGTAGGCGTGTCCCATTGTCTACATAATTCCTGAGTTGGCATTACCTCCCGGCCCGCACCTAGTTGGGGGACGCAAATGCTTCCCCTTGCCACTTACACCTCACACCCCGTGATCCCTGTCAAAATGGTGCCCGATGGCCGAACACGAGTACCTCAGCTTCTGCCAGATTCTGTCAACCGCAAGTACAAATGACGGGCAATGATACTTTGACCTCATTGCCGCGAAAAAACGGAGGGCATTTCGGAGGTCGAAAAACGAAACGACCCTACCAAAACGAGCAGTGAACCCTTTCAGGACTTTCCTGGAAAGGCCCCCATATTGTTGAGGCGCCCTCTTTCACACCCAGCCCCTCAAGCATCTCCCCAACCCCCTGAGACCCCCATCCCCCCCAGCCCCATACGCCCAACTCCCCAAGCCCCACCCTCTCTGCTTCGTGCAAGTCACCATCCATGAAGGCCACGCGGGACAGGCCCTCGCAATTCCTTGGTACTCAGAATACGCTGGGTTTTCCACCAAAAAAAAACCACCCTACCCGGTTCCAATCCATAGAGTGGTTAACCAAAGGAACCATCCTGGAAAAAATGGCTGGTGACCTACCATAGTGGCAACTGGGATCCACAGAGCTATTCAATCAAGTCATGGTTGAAACGCCCCTCGTTTCAACCACCTCCTTTTGGTTGCCCCGTAGCAGGGGGTACCAAAACAAGTTAAAGGCCAGTTCAGTCGAACCAAAGAGCAAGCAAGGGTCTGGAATCCAAGAGCAAAGGCTACCCAGAAGAAGCATTTATCTGTATGGTACGCAACGTCCTGCATGGATTGGCAACCAAACTGCTTCTTGCCACTAAACTGGTACAAACCCAAAACGAAAGGGACAGGGAGGTCTATTCAAAAGGAAAACAGGTATCTTTGTTCCGAGGTTCTGTTCGACGAAGGGAAGGCAAATCAAACATCAAACGTTTAAGTGTGGCAATGTGAAAGGGGCTTTGGCTTTTCTGAAAACCACCTGATTTAGAAGGGGATCCTCTAATCTGCTTGTAAACGCTCGCCAACATTTGCAGAGTCTGTAGGTATCCTTTTGAGGATCTTGCTGAACCCCCAGTGTGCTGGTGACTCTTTTCGGGACCCGTTACAGAAACTTGCTCCAAGGAATTCCGAATGGTTGGCAGTTGAGTCACAACCAAAACCGGTCAATCGGCCTACCAAAATCCAAAGAAAATACTACCGCAGCTATTTCTGGCGGGAACTGTCCCTAACCTTCATCTACCCGGTTGGCTGTCCTCAGATCCCCCGGGGTTAAATAGAAACTACCACTAAACCCGCAAAACGCTAAAAGCTGTGAAGCGCAGTATAAAGACGGCCACGGGCTCCAAATCTACGGAGCTGGCCTTCGAAGTCTTTCCTTCCAGCCCAAAGCCTTGTTTCATCCCAGGGCATGATTCGCTGAAAAGCTAAGGGGACGCCCACCCCCCCACCCACCCCACACCCTCACCCACCCCCACCCCCCCCCACCCCCCCACCCCCTCACCCCGCACCCCACCCCACACCCCCGACATTCACCCCCACACCGCTCCCGGAGCCAAGTTGAGTTCCGAGGCTCTTGAAGGTGTCGCAGACCAACGGCTGCTGGGGCTGGAAGCTGCACTGGGCCATCTCGTTGGACTTCAGGGAGTGGGGGTCCTCACGGATCACACAAAAAGGCGCTGCGCATTCCGCTTCTCCCCCCTTTGCTTTTTCCTTCTTTGCCCGTTTTTGGTTGTTTTTTTTGTGTTTGTTTCTGTTCATTTACTTGTTTCATGATTATTTATTTTTGGGAGGGGCAAGGGGCCTGGTTCTTTGGTCAGGTTGAAAGCGAACCAAACCTCGGTAACCTCTTTTCGAGGGAACCCTGGCGCTTTTTGGTCGGGGAAAGCGGAAAGTCATAGAAAAAGGCGACCTGGTGTTCAAAAAACAGATGGGGTTCCCTGGTACATGGGGCATAAAACCCATCTAAACCGGCTCAAGTGCACCATAGCCCCCCTCCCTTCCCCCACCCTCCCTTCTGTGCGCCAGGGTCTTGGTTTCCCACCGGAACAATTTAATGGAGCATCCAAAAGCCCCTAGAGGCTCCCCATCCCCAACAGGATTCCAGAGTTCTGCTCAAAAAGAGCTTGCCCTTAAAATGCGCTTTGTAATTTGTTCGATCCGCTTTTTTGGGGGCGGGGTCCAGGTGAATCTGTACGTGCTTCTTGATTTTAAGGTTTTTGTTGATGCCCAGAATTGGCCTTGGGGCCTCTTCGCAACCAGAGGATGCCACGCGACCAACAGGCTATTGAAGCAAGAGCTTTTCAGTCAACCTTGCCCAGCGCTGGTGGATTTGCACCGCTCACGCCCAGGAGTCACGAGTACCCGAGTTTCGCTTTTAAACCACCCCACAAAGGGCAGCGAGCTTCTAATGAGAGACACACCCGGAACTCAAGCGTCACATTGTCGTGAGCGTTTTATCGGGATTGACACCCCAAAAAATTGGAAAAAGAACATG